CCCCAAAACCCCAAAACCCCAAAACCCCTAAAGTTTTATAGTAAATTGAAATAAGATTTGTATTACGAGCTTAAACTAGTCTTCTGTTTTGTTAGAACTTCATATATCAAGCCAATATCATTCAAAATCTCTGTTTTCTCGAAAGTCTCAGGTGTTACAATCTCTTTGTTGAAGATAAAGGGATTTTCAGACTCTCCAAAGTCTGCCTTAGGGGTATTTAGATTTGACTTAGACATGCCCTTGGTAGTTTTAGGGGCTATATTAATTAGAGCAGGTATTCTATAGAGTTACCATTACTGCTACTACGATGACTTAAAATTAACTCGGAAAGGTCTACTTTATGATTCAAATCATTTCTTTTAAGACCTCTACTTGCTTTTGTTCTTTGGCTGGAAGCAATCTTGAACTCATCAAGTATTCTATCATCTACAGGGATTTCTTTTATCCTAAATACATGAAATAGAAGTTATAGTCTGCTTGTAGTTCACTGAAGGTATCAAGGAAGAAGGATTATCATCTCCTTTTCCATCTGAATAGGATTAAACGTCTTTATTTTAGTTCGTATTCTATACATAAATCTGAAAATATACCTCTGCTGCTTCGACTTTTCACAATCTTGGGCTATCTTTGTAAAGGCCATGTGTTCCTTCATTATATTTCCAAATATTGCATCAAGTCTCTTCTTCTCAGGATCTCAGTATCTCTGAGGATCTGAAATCATATTGTGCTCATTAGTTAAATTAATTTCTGAACATGCGATTTTTGACATATATTTTCTTTCTTCTGTCTCAACTCAGAAAGGTTTGGAACCATGTCTATCTTAGAAATGCGCTTGCTCTTGACAGTGATGGAGACACTCTCTTGTTCTACTGCTACTTCAGATACTATATTTGGTTTTGTTCAGATATACCTGACTCTTCTTTCCCTTTACTATCCTTTTTGAACTTTGAATCTATAATTAATAAACTCTTATTTCAGATTAATAGGAATAATTTCAGTTTGGAGGGTTATTTCATTGGCTTTTCATCTAAATGTATAATGGTGTCCTGCTCATTAGTCTCTGAATTTTAAGAGAAGAGGTTACTTTCAGAGTTATGGTTGGTTAAAATGAGGTTATCCAGAGTTGTCTTCGATCCTTTTTGTCTCATTCTTCTAAAGACTGGGCACTTTTTCTTATTTGGATTACTATTTTTCCTGAAGCGGAGGTATTCCTTGAGGATTTGTTTGATTTTCATTGTTAGACCCCACAAAGTTCTTGTTTTTGCTAATCTTCTCTCTTTCTCTCTCTTCAGGCCAAGGTAAGCCAATATCAAAAACTCAATATATCCAACGATATCTTTGTGCTGCTTCTCCCAAAAATTCAAACCAACTCATACTTTAACTTTCTCCCAAAAGTTATTATTTATCTCAAGTTTTTCAAGTTGTAATTTCTTGAGCGGGGTTTTGGGGTTTTGGGGTTTTGGGGTTTTGGGGTTTTGGGG